AGCGTCATCAAGTACAAAGTAAACAGAGGGACGTCCACGAGTTTCTCTCTCCACAGAGGCTGCTAGGCCTGAATAAGAGAGGTTCAAGGCAGGAAGGTAGAAAAACACAAAGAAGAAAAAGGGAGAAGCAGGAGAGAAAGTGTAACACTAAGAACAAGCAAGCTATAACTGAAGTTGGGGGAGGGCAGGGGTCTGCCTAACGTCACGCAGCAGATCAATGGCAGAGTTAAAAAAAAAGAAAAAAACAGATTTCCTGACTGTCCTATAGGCAGCCCTGGACTCCAGTCACCCACTGACATGTTCAGGATCACTGTTTCTCCAAGAGCTTTTGAGTTTTGTGGACTGAATTTTACTGGCCCTTTAAGGGCCTTTTTTTTTTTTTTTTAAAAAAAAAAAAAAACAACCAAAACCAACAAAACCCAAAACCCAAGAAGGTTGAGAAGAATTCCACCTTCACTGGCACAAGTAAGACTGAAACGTGCCAACTACTCCGTGAGCATAAAGCAGTTGGAGAGGAACTGGAACATAGTAAAAAAGCATCCAGCCACCCACCGCTGGAAGGTCTCCAAAAACACCTTACACCTGGGACATAAATTAGGGCTGGACTTTAGACATGCCTTTGCCTGGGTCTTTTGCAGTCTAAATGTGAGAATTAGTATATTTGTCTATAAGCAAGAGGTGACTGAGACTAGAAGCCCGAAGAAGCAGCCAATGACTGCCACTGTCCTGAGGCCCAAGACGCGTTTGCAGAATTCACTCGCAAGATGACTCCCAGGCATCCCGCTGCACGTCCTCTGGCATCAGTTCAATTAAAACTCCTGGTCTGCCTACGTTTTTGACATTTTAAACATCCCTGACTGGTATTTGATATGGATAAAGCTCTAGGGAAGGAATTTCAGTGCTAAAAAAGTAAGCTATTTTGTAGACTAGACAGGAGTGAACAGGCCTGGGAAAAGCAGAACTGTTAAAACCCTGGAATAAGGAAGACAATAAAAGCCAGGTAAATGATGCCTAAGAAAACACAATACAAGAGTCACACCAGGCAACAGCGATGAGTACGACCTACATATTTGGATTGGAAAAGCAGAATGAGACGTTTGAGTCTTGAGAACCACATAATCAATCTGCTTTCCATTTTTCCTTATTGCCAGTTCTCAGATAGTATATCATCCCTACCTGGATGCTTTGGAGTAAAGCGTGCTTCCATATTTGCACACGAGCACATTTTTCTCAGCAGGAAGAGGCAGTAGCGGACACCAGGCTGTCCGCAGAGTGTCTTTATATACATACACATCTATATTACACACACACATTTCGATAGTGAATCTCAAAATAAAGTTTCTACACAGGCGCTGTAGCAGGAAAATAATGCCTTTCATTCCCTGGGATTTAGAGGAAGTTAGTATTAAACAAGCATTTTATTATTTCTACAGCAAAATAATGCTAAGTGATATTAATGATTAAATGTACAAGGTCAAAAAGTGTAAGAGCAATCACATGCTTATCATCTGGTCTGCAAGGTAGAGAACACCTCTAAGCTATGGAAAAAATGATAGGCTTTAACACCAGGACCTGTTAGATCATCTAATCTGACTCCAGCTGCACAAAGAAATAATTTTTCCACTGTGCAGAAGCCAATGATTTGCATGTTATTATGGGCACGGACCAACAGAACAAAACTTTCAGCGAGAAGCTTGCTAGTTTGTGGAAAGTGTACATCCTTGTGCATATACAATGTAATAAACACAAGATAACTTGAAATAAGAATATTTGCCACTGAAATTGTTAAATTACCTTTTTGTAAGGCCTGACTGACATTTCTTGCTATAAAAATCTCTATTAATCTAAGTAACTCCTTTACTGCCTTCTCCAGAAGTAAGCATTTCAAACCCTGTGACTCTTTTCCATGTTATAAGTGTTTGTGCAAGGTAAGTTTTCATTACTTATTATTCTTTATTTTTAAGAATTTTTTTAATTCAGTTCTACTTTGAAAGATTAAGGCTTGTTCCCTAAACCACTTAATGGCACAACAGTACGATCTAAGACTGAACAGGGAAATAATTGACTGTATATGGCACACATATAGAGATCACATTAATTCCAAACCAATGATTCAGTTTTAAATAAGCTCATTTCATTTACTTCAAGTTATTAACATAATCCATTATTGGAAAACATGTCTTCCATCATTTTTGTGTAAGTGGAATTTAGACACTTTCGTTCCTATAAGGCAGGAAGAAAAAAGAATTCACGAGCACATAAATTTTTATTGAAAATAAATTTTTAGCATCTAAGCCACAACAGTATTATGGTAATCACGTTCAGTTTATGCGTTATGCAACTACTTCATGTGTAAAGTACTACTTTTGTAACATGCATTTTTACCAGCAGAATTAAGTACCTTAATGTTTTCATGGATTTTCATCATTTCCATTACTTCATGGATTTCCGTGGTTTATATTCATTTCAAATTTAAACATTTTTCCATATTAAAAAAATAATAATCTTTATTCAATTAATTTTAATGAAACCATTACCTTAAGAAGTTACTATGATACAAGAGAAATTTTGAAGAACTGTCCCCGTTGCATTTTGCTACATATTCCAAAGGTGGGGTGTTTAATTTTTGGGGTTTTTTTCTTTTTTCCTTAAAATTACTTTAGATTGACAGGTTTAATTTTTTGTGTGATTTTTTTGCATGAATTCTGTGTTCTGCCAGGTTTTATTTTTCTTTGCCATTCCTTTTTCACTTGTTTCATATACAGATATAAATTAAGAAAAAGAGCGACTTGGACGCTTGGACACTTTTTTTTAACAGAACTTGTAGAATAAAACACATTTGTTATGGATATAATATAATTAAATATTTCCTGAAAAAAAAATCTTAACCATCCATTAACAGGTGTTAACTCCAATTTAAACTTAGCACCTGTAACGTTTTATCACATGGCGTACTTGTAACATCACTGAAACTGTATAGGTTTTAAGTCCTATATATGCTTCAGAAAGGTAACACAGAGAGTAATGGGTACACTAAGTCAGCTTAAAACGATGAAACTTTCAACCTCAATTCAACTGGAATACATTGGATTATAAACAAGTGGTATATATCTGGCCGTATCATGCTGTGTAAAGAACATATAATGTAGGTGGAACTATCGCAGCGGTATCAAATAGGGTGCCAAATATCAACAGTATTAAAAGTCAGCTATGCAAAGGCAGCTATGCAAAAGAATTCCAAAGAAAGGCTAATAAATCTACTTACCTATACAATACGAGTATGTAGAATGAAGACTAAAAACTTACTGTGATCCAGTGAAGCATTCCAAAATGAGATTCAAACTAACCAAAACTAAAAGACAACTGACTTCTAAAGCCCAGGAATATGGGCTTGCCCCCGCTGCAGTTCATGGCAAGTTTCCATAGATACCAGTGTTGTAGGAATGATCTCTAATCCTGTAGTTTAATGTCTAATCTATATTGCTGTTATTTTTTGGAACAATTCAACTTGGAATGCAGTAGCGTGATATGAAAAGGGTGTTTTGTTTGCAAACTTGGAATGAAATCTGCCTTGGACTAGACTGCATACTAAAGAAGCCAGCTAAAGGGAATTTGACATTCACCATTCTGGCCGAAAAACTTCGTTTATCAAAACTAGAAGATTAAAAATACTTTGATATTGTTATTTGAAATTAAAATCAAAAGGAAGAAAACAGAAGTGTCGAACTGTGCCAGATTACCAGGATCTTTGGTTAATGAACATTACCTTCTTCAAAGTCGTTTGAAGCTAGCAATAAAGCCAGTACCTAAAAATACTGCAGAATTTAAAAAAGTATCACTGGCTTTGAAACAGAAAAGCTATTAATCCGTTATACTAGCACCTTCAATCTCAAACTATCTGTGACAAATCCTGTATTTCTTCTTCTTTCTGAGCTATTACTGAATTAATTGGGAGTTCTCAATCCTTATTCAGCACGACGCTTAAACGTGTTTTCAACTTTATACACATGAGAAAACCTAAATCCTTTTCTAAATGTGACTTCATTGTAAGTTAAGCACAAGTTTCTGACAGACCAAGCACGCTGGTGTTTTGTTGAACTAGCAACTTGACTTCTACAGATGGGAAGGAGTCCCTCTGACTTCTTTTGTTCTCACAAGTGCTAAATCCTGAGTTTTATCAGGTCACAGTTGTATGCCTTTAGCAAAATAGGGATAACAATTATTTAAGAGCAAGAGCTATCATTCTGTCAAGTCATTACTCAAGGACAGCACACGTGGAGAGGAAAATGGAAAGAAGCGTAGCGTGAATCAGATTCTTAACCTACTAGTACAGAATGATTACCATATTTTCATTATCATTACCATAAGCATATATAGAAGATTAAGAGGATCAAAATTAAGTTTGGATAGTATATTTGTGCTAAATTCAGCCAGATACTAATACTAGCAAATATTTATATTAACAATTAACTTTGTGCTATGGGAGTTAACACACTACATACAAAGTCTGAAATACAGCACTGGGTTTGGAAAGATCTGTTGATCACATGAAGTACTATAGATATTAATGTTTTGCTCACCCTACGTTAGCAACGTATCTTGGTCGTGATTTGGCAATTCAATGATCATGAAGTCTTTGATCTTTTTCCTGACCGGTCACATACTACCAGTCAAAGCAAAGTGGGAGAATGGTCGTTTCAATGAAGTCGATGTTCTTTCAAACCAAACTGAGAGGAAGTTGTCACCTGCGTTTGTGAAGGCTTTCAGTTGCCATTGATCAAAGACAGAGCAAATTCAATGACCTAAAGTTGGAAGGATCTACCACATGCTAGTAATTCCTTGAGTCAGTCAACCCACTGTAGTTTATTTCCCGACAGCATCATAAAAACATGCTCATTAATAAGAAAATATTTTCTCCTGTTAATCAATGATATCATTTGCAAAGTGGGAGGTAGCATATACTAGCAATTCACTACAAAATAAAAAAATAAAACCTTTACCCTAATAAAGAGGATCTTCTCTCCAACTCGGTATCTTCCTTGTGAAAGACGCTCCACACAGAACTTGTTAGGGCATTTACAAGGTGGATCTTCAGAAATGTGTTTCACCTGAAAAACATGGAAGTTATTGATAGAAACTGTTTAAAATAACACGTGCAGCAAAACGTTCACTAAGACATTTGCCACAACATGATATCACTAATCTAAGTCTTCATTGATGAGATTTTCTTAGTTTTTCTTAATTTTCTTAACATTTCTGTAATCCTAGACTATGCTGCTTCCAATGTCAAGGACGATTTTACAGCTGTGATGAGGTAAAAAGAGAGATGAATGTCACACAGTTCAACAGAAAATTTGCACTGTTTAACTGAAGTCAAACAGTTTGTTAATTTGAGTTCAGCATCAAGCTTTTGTAGATGTGTTCTCAGTATTTTATGGTGAATCAGCTCCACTGTCAAAGTGCTAACATAGCTGACAGGCAAAATGAAGATGTCATAATGATGTATTTTGCCTTCTAAATAAATACAGAAGCATCTTGCTTATCAATAAAAGGCCCTTCCCAATACCTTCACTTGGCGCTTTCAAATAGTGCATTTACACCTTGAAAAAAGTATACAGAGAATACTGTGACACAATCACAAATCCATGCCAAGATGCTCCCCGATCTTGCTAAGTACCCTTCGATGATCTCCTCCTGAGGGCATTAGTGCAATCAAGGGTAATTTAAAGGGCCCTCAATAGTACTCTACTTTTCATTGCCAATAATAAGGCCTGAGAAAATATAGATGAAAAAAAGCAGGAAAGTAGTTATCAGCTGCATCAGCTTAACTTCAGCCTCTTGTGAAAACTTGGCCTTGCATGTGCTACCAAAGGCATTAATGCTTAGTAAAAGTATACTTGGTACTCTTCAGTGACCTGAAAGTAGCACAGCTGTCAATGCCAAAAGAGCAGATCTGGTTGAGAAACTCTTATTTGACATTCAGATTGCACCACTGCATAGGAACAGCAATAACAAGTGCATCAGTTTCATATACTGCAGTTTTCTTGGATGAACGCTGACCTAGTATGTCAGTGTCAAATAATGCAAAATGCTGGAGGAACTGCCTAGAGGCTTTGTCCACTTCAACTAATATTCCACAGACCTTTTCAAATCCAGTTTGTAAACCAAGGCGTGGAAAAACGGTCTGAGGTCTGGGAAAGAATATTCTCAGAACAGCTAATAAATCAAAGCCTTAAACTGTTTCAGAAGGAAAAAAAAAAAAAAAAACAAACCAAAAAAAAAAAAACCAGGGCAAAGCTGTGGCACTCTGATAGGTGTTTTGGTTAACCTCAATAAATGAACAGGAAAAGTTCCTGAAGTACAACAAATGCTTTTCAGATCTGCTTTTGGAATGAGGTTATAGCATATTAAACTGGAAAGAAATTAAAAGTCAACCATACCATGGCTACCATACCCACGTTTCTATCCTAGAATAGAGAGCAAAAATGCTTTTGAAACTAACTGTTGACTGATTTAAAGGCTTCCCACTTTTTTCTGAAAGTGTTCAATGTTGTTATCTAAATAACTTCTTTTACTTTGTAGAATAACTTCTTATATTTTTTTTTTTAGTCAGGGAATGAAAATTTTGTGAAAATTTCCATTTTAAAATAACACTTAGTAGAAGAAGTCTACATATATTTTACTTGAGAAACACTTTTTGTGTGTATCAGGGGAGTTGTCATCAGTTTGAATGTACAATCACTGAATTATTTATGATGAATTATTCCAGTGATTTTTATGAACAAGTGGCTGAGTGTCAGCCTCCATTTCTGGAGAATCAAACTATTCATACAGTTAGTGTACAACAGGAATAACTCACATGAAGTCAGCGGTCGATGACTTAAGTCCAAGTGCATGTTGCTGAGGATGCAAAAGGTGCATTCCTGTATCTCTTGGAATGTGGTACCAAAACTGGAATTGTGCTTAGAGGACAAATGCCTCTGAATGCTGCCCAATAATCAGTGATTTCTGACATAATAACCTACGGCAGTTATCACCTCTGGAGACACTCTTGAAATTCGAAGCTGAAAATTGATAGCGTGAACTGTGTCTTAATAGGTGCAGGCGTTCAAGGGTTTAGGGTTCACCGAAGCAAGCGAAAACCCAGAGTAGCCGGTCCTAACAGTTTCAAGGGTGTTTTGAACTGTGTAAGCAAAATAGAGCCCTCATAGTCCTGTGAAGAATGAAAGCCAACAGATTTATACTGGTGTAAAACAGAGGATAATGAGACCTTCACTGCTGATCCTGCTGTTGAGGCTTCCATTACCTTACTGTCCCAAAGGACACAGAAGTATTATTGAGTGGAATTTGGAAATCAAATAAGGAAGCAGAGGGAAGAATTATATCCTCTTTTATTTTGTGTCTGGACTATATGAGCACTGCTGCTATTTTATGGTGTGAGTGTCTGGGGCAGCGTGGGTCAGGAATCTAGCTGAATGAATTCCACTCTGTTTCTAACTCTACTACTTTCTAAATTAAAGGAGGTGGTTGGAGACAACCTTCAGTGTCTCTGTTCTGTTCCTACAAGATACGCAGTCACCACCCTCCTTCCACACATAACTGTTCTTTCTCAATTCTGTTGAAATACAAGTGAGTGGTTTTGCAAAGCCAAGAAAGAAATATAAAATGTAAGAAACCTTAAATGTAATTATTTGCATCAAATAGTACAAAGTATTTCAATAAAATGAACAAACATTATATCCCATCTGCTCTTTGTAACAAAAAAGTGGCACATGGATATTTCAAGAAGTGCTTTGTAACTCCCAGGTGGCACATCTACCTTGTAATATAGCGGTTACTATAGTAACTCCTTCTTTTTATAGAATATATTTGTACTTTTCAAGTTTAACCTCTTCATCGTCTCAAAATGTGTCCTTTTCATCTGATTCCAGCTGTTTCAAATGAACCCCTTGAGGGTTTGCAACCAAGAAATGAACACTACAGGACAGTGCAAAGAGTTTAATGAAATGCAAAGCAAGATCCTTTCTTTCTAACAACAAGGAAAAAATGTTTGCTTTTTTACCACATGACAAACATGCAGAACAGCAGCATAAAAATTAGGCTGAGACAACTTAGAAGTGTTTGTTAACAATCTGTACAAGTCAGTATGGGCCAAATCTTCTAGTCCTGACTCAGTCCTTTCTCAGACAAAATACTAAGTGGGAGTTGATGAATAAGAAGTGAACAGAAGAAAGAAAACAGAGTAATACGAAGAGAACTTGGCCCTAAGCACAAAGCTAGGCTAAACTGCAGATCTCCTACACAGTGCGACGTTTTTTCCAAACTTCAGGCATAAATAATTGTGGTCAAAAATAAATTAACTCTATCAGTCTGCAAATCTTTAAAATACTGTGAGATGTTAAACTCGGGCTTCTGTGTGCTTTGCAAGTAAGTGCATACCAGAATGGGTCAGATAGAAAGAAGCTTCCTCCCTCAACTTACAGCATCATCCAACAGTTTCCCGGTGCTCTTTTTCCCAGGAGACTTCGTCGGTGACGGCGAAGGAGACGGAAGTGGGGCTGAAAGTGTTTCCTCTTGTTCAATCTCTTTTTCCAACTTTATTAATCCAGGAGGCTCCACCCCAAACCTTTTGGAAACATGCAAACAAATTACCAGTCTTTATGAAGTATTACGTATTTTAAAACAAAACAATGGCAAGAATTTATACTTTCTGTATTGCACCATTGTGCAATAATAGAATGCTACATACATTAGTAAGCATGTATAAAATACATCAATCATTAATGCCATCATTCCAAATTAAAACAAAAAATTAATTTAGAGGGAATCTCTCAGTTGATCAAATCTACATGAAATGCAGGGTTTTTTTCCAATTTCTCTGTCTGATAACATATATGTTGGTGAATGACTAATTTAAAAACAACACTAGGCCTCAAAAATTGCCATACCATGCAGGACAGATTCAAGTTCAGTACATTCGCTTCCCCCCCCCAAACAACATCCTTTCAAATTACTTGACAGCTTTTATTTTGTGTTATTATTTTTCAAAGAAATGCACTGAATTTATAGATAAATAAATTGAAACATGGCCAACATTTTTTTCAGAAGCAGCTAATGCTTTTTCTAACCAATATTTCACATCCAATCTTCAGATCTCTGTTTCCAGTGGCAAAACACTTGCAGCTCCAACTAAAACAAAATACATGCAACTTTGGCACAGAGCATGTCAAACACAGCACTTGGAGAGCACGGCTCTTTAAAACAATGCCTGCTTTTGAAAGCTTTACGGCAAGTGATTAAGTCAGTATCTCACAGCTTGGACGGATGTCAGAAGTCTAAAAGCCCCATCCCATTTTCCTAATCACTGATAATTCCCTTCTGTTTTTTTTCTTTGCCAACACTGAACAAACCCCCGAAAAATAGAAAGATTTCCTTTTTCAGAGAAGGATTCCAGCTTGGAAAAGTTATCATGCCAGGTAGGCTTCTCATAGCAAACTACTTGCATAAATGAAACCATATTTTCTTCTGTAGTAGAAAAGTCCATAGCCCAGATGCAGAACTATGCTGACTTATCTAGGCAGAGATCTGGACACTAAAACATTGAGCAGTAGCAAATACGTTATGAAAATCTAAGCTAAATATCATAATAATGTTAAAAGTGTACAGAGAAAGGGCATAAGCGCATATACTATCTTTTGTATTTTTATGATAGCTTTTAATTTACTCACACTACTGCCTAGAAAATTAATATAAAGAAAACCAAGAACCAAATCTGTGCTTGTATTGGCTTCTAACTGGTGCAGTCTGCCTAATGAAAAGTCATCCAACGCTGAAGCAAGCACTTACATACAATTCATTTACTTCCTGTCTGTCTGCAGATGCCGACAGGCTGTAAATCATTAAATTCCCACCGGGCTCTGAGCCTACACCTGCATGCAGCCTTACTCATCAAATAAAACTCTTCCACTCTAAGCAACTCTGCTTCTTTGCTTCTACTGCTTTTCATAATCTCCAATTTTTGTCATTGTGACAGACTTTTAAAGTTCCCTGTGTTTCCAGTATTTTGAATTCCTCTGGTGACGAGCTGAAAAATGAAACAAATGAACAAACATACACACACACACTTTTTCTCCCTCCCACATATTGTATCAACCTGAAGCAAAGTTGCTGGAAAGCCGAAATGGTAAAAAAACGCATCTTTTGTGGGAGGGGTAGAGGTGCAAATTCTAGTCTGGAAGGTATGCTGAGAATTTCCTTTTCTGCTCCTTTCTAGCCTGCCTTCTCATAACTATAAATGAAGCAGCATTGGACTGTAACATGATCTCCAATAGACTTCTTAGAGCACCACTTCCCATTTTTACCAAGGAAAAATTGAATACAATAGCAGAAAGATCTTGAAATTGCTCAACAGTCATTTCAAAAGACCTGTGGGGGTTGTTTAACCCCCCAGAGTTTAATAGTTACCCAAGAACTTCATTCTTTCTGCAGAAAAGATAACTAAGTTGTTTTTCATTGTATTAGCTCTCTTTAAACACACACACAGACAGCACATATACATCTATTTGCAAATAATTACGTTTTCCATGAAGTCTTGATTACAGATTAGGTAGTGATCGATTCTGTCCTCACATCACTTTATTTTCAATTATTCACTCTGACTTTAAAATACTTTGGGAGAATGTTCGAGCTGTGCAAGCCACTGTAATAGCCCTGTGTATTGTCAATGCTCAATTTTGTCCTGTAGAACACTCATAAATGTTCTCACTCTACCCACATGATATCTGCTGCTGCAAACAATGGCCCATTTGAGCTATTGAAATTTCATGGATTACCTCAATAACTGAAATCCAGGATAGTTTATCAGGCTATTCTATTTTTATTAGTACCTGAGCTTCCAACTGCCACTCTTTGAGCCAAATGGTTGCCCCAGTTTTCCACTCACTGTGTCATCCATCCATCCAGTCCACCTCTCTCTAATTTGGCTAAAAGAACACTATAGGAGCATACGCTAAAATCACTGCTAAAGCACAGGTAAGTTATCAGCTGTCTCCCCTCATCCACAGAGTACCTGTTGAATGGGTTCAAGTTCAGCAGAACAGAGCTCTGTTCGATCTCCACCTCAAATCAATCCCCATTCCCGCTCACTTGTGCCTCAATCCCAAGATTATTTTGATTAAGAGAGACCTAAGTTGACTTAGGCTGAGAGAGCTGGGACTCTTTAGCCTGGAGAAGAGAAGGCTGAGGGGAGACCTTATTATGGCATACAAGTATCTAAAGGGTGGGTTGAGGGAGGATGGAGCCACACTCTTTTCAGTGGTTCCCAGTGACAGGACGAGGGGCAATGGGCACAAGTTGGAACATAGGAAGTTCCATTCAAATACATGGAAGAACTTCTTTACGGTTCAGGTGACAGAGTAGTGGCACAGGCTGCCCAGGGAGGTTGTGGAGTCCCCTTCTCTGGAGATTTTCAAGACCCGCCTGGATGCAGTCCTGAGTAATGTGCTCTGGGCAATCCTGCTTTAGCAGGGGAGTTGGGCTGGATGACCTCTAGAGGTCCCTTCCAACTCTGAAAATTCTGTGATTCTGTGACTTATGGGAGTTACAGACCCTGAATACTAACAGTAATCTAGCTGAGCAAAGTGCACCAGGAGCTGGCTCCTTGTGATGAATAAACCAGTTTGAACACGTCTTTCTGCTTCTAAAACAGAAAAGGAAAAGTAAGAAGTTATTCAGGGTCTCTTGCTCTTTTCATTCTTTAAAAGCATACTGAGGTACCTTTTCAAAGATCTCTGCAGCTCCTGTTCTGGAAAGCAGACCCAGCTTGCTTTATAAAACAAGCATACGCCTGACTTATCTCCTATTTAAAGCAATGCAACAACAATGACAGTTTGATGTGCTCTTTCCTATGTTTAGTGGAGACAACTATCTCTTCTCATTTTCCATACAGTTCTAGTTTACCACACCTCAGGCAAAACTGGCATCACATATTTGCTTTTCAATTATATTAAACTGATGTTCCCCTTCAACAGTTTTTGCGCACCTTGGAAACGTACAAGATTTCTTTGCTTGTTTTCGAAGAGACATTAGAGTAGGAATAAGTAGACAGATATGTTATTTGACCCCTAAGCTATAAACAGAAATAAAATACTGTAACATAAATGTAATTATAACACACATTACTGATACTTGGTAATATACATGTATTATAAATAAAAATGAAATTAAAACATTGTAAAAGCAAAGGGATAAATATGCACAATAAATGAAAACATGGCTCATTTATTGGTTCAGTATGTGTTTTCATGCTTGGTACAGAGAACATCTGGGATATGGAAGCTTAAGATAAAAGACAAATACAAAGGGTAAGAGTTTATCTTAATTCCCATGTATATCTGTGGAGAAATGAAACCTCATTGCAAAGTGAGGTTAATTTAATTCAACCGACTGTAACAGAATCCAACACTGCCTAACCACTGACCTTCCTTCCCTGCGGAAGCTGGATACTGTCAAGTAATCAACCTGGGACAGACATTCCCGACAGCTACGCCCCGAGTACAGGGTCTCTGGATGCTGGAAGGTCTATCTCCAAGCTGGGGACCTTAAAAGCACAGTTTGTTTCCTCAGGTAGTTTAAGATTCATGAAAATCAATTTCATTGAGCACCTACAGATCAGAACATTTTCTTATTCACGGAAACTTAAATTAATTAATTTTTTTTTTTTTGGCCATGTTGAACTGAATCCAAGTTCTAGAGATAAGAAAATTCTTGCAAACTGGAAATCAACTCTTTTTCTGGCCCGTGCATTTCCTATGCAAGCTTCCACCGACAGCAAGGGCTCTTCTGAAGCTTGACCAAGAGACAGATTCCTAGACAAGCAGTTTCCAAGTGAGTTGCATTCACAAAATATGAATACCCATAATGCAATTATAACATGAAAATACCAGTTCTTAGTCTAGGAATAAACAGGGGTCTCCTTTGCATTGATTGTAACCACAAGGAATTCTGAAATTAATGAAACTATCCGAACAGCATGGTACTCCAATTCCATACACGTGGATGAATACAACTGCAATTTACATGCAAGACTGGGCAGCAGCGCTGCTGTTCATATATTTTGTAGCAAATCTTACCCACTATGCTGGCTAAATCTGCATCTGCAAAAAGGGAAAAAACACATTCTAATTCCTGTCATTTTGATTGTCTAGCAAAAGTCACTGTTGTCTTGACATCAAAGATAATGTTACAATGTATTGAGGGTCAAACCTGTCCAGAATCATCTGACAGAGATAGAACACAGACTGTGACTCAATTCCTGTATTGCTTCTGTTGGTGAAAATCAGAGATAAGTTTATTTAAATAAATAAGAGTCAGTGTTGCTTCGGTCAGATTTATGTCATGCGAATATCAATTTATTATCAGTAAAGTCAATGAAATTTCGGTTGTTTGTAGAGAGATCCGACTGTTAGGAGAAACAGCCCAAAGCTTTATTTAGAAAAAAAAAATCTCAACTCTTCCCCCTCCTAATATGAGGATAGCCAACAAATACCTTCATTGAGGTGACAGTACAGAGATTTTATTATATTTGTTAACAACTGCCCACAAGATATTCTTGAGTGACATCAAGACAAGCATTCTCCTTGCACCTAATGAGCATAAAAGTTAGCTTGAGATGTGCTGATTTAATAAGTCTCTCAATAGCCACTGCTGTCGAGAATGTAAATATTTCTTCATTCTTTAAATATTTTCACCTACCTTGCTGCAATCCTTCCAAGTTCCAGCAAACAAAGGCACACTTCTCTTGGCTGCTTGTGGAGAACTGGAAAAGCGAAATGAAGACAGAAAACGTTTATGAATAAAAGCTATTTTAAAGATCTTAGTGATGAATGGAACCTAATCATCAACATCTGTAAATCTTGACTCAGATAAAACCTGCTTTTCTTTAGCTTGCAGTGGAGCTTTACTGGAATAAAAAGGACGGGATTGAGGAGTGGTTCTCAGAGTATAGATGATTTAGAAAGTTCCCATTTAGTTATCCTTTAGTCCGTTTGAAAATACCATTCTAAATATCACTGAGTAATTATTTGGGCTATTTGGTAACCTGCAAGCAGTTCATAACTATTAAAAACAATCAAGAGCTCTGGCAGGACACTAAACTAGAAGAATGTCAAAAATAAACCGAAGTTATACTTGTCTTTCTATAAACTAAGAGAATTCCTATCCTTTAGATCACTATTTTCCTTAGCCTGTTTAAATCACAAAAATAACAGAATTGCACTAGCAAAGATATATCTCATTACTAATTTGGTCCTGAATTTGTTATACATCTACTCTTAAAACAAATATGAAACTAGAATACTTTAGGAATTCAGCTCATCGTAGATAAAAACTCAGCCAAACAAAAAACTGTTACTGTGTGTATACATACACACATATATGTAAATTTTCATGCTTGGATTCGACTCAAGAACTGTAGTTTTTAAGCTTCAGAAGCAGCTGTAATACAGCATGAACTTCCCATTAAGAAATACCACCACAATCCAAGATAATTCTTTCTTTTTACCCCATAATTCAGATAGGTAATTTTCTGTAGAGAAGTCCAGCAAAATATATAAGCAAATCAAAAATCAATAGATGACGATAGCCCTGTGGCTGTTTTCATAATCAACCCCCCAAAAAATCCAAAAAGAAGAAAGGAGAAGTCCAGCAAAATATATAAGCAAAATCAAAAATCAGTAGATGACGATAGCCCTGTGTCTGTTTTCATAATCAACCCCCAAAAAAATCCAAAAAGAAGAAATAAAATAATAAGAAAAAAGAAAAAAGGAATTATGAATACATTGCCATCTTCTCTCCAGAAACATCTACTGCAGTAAAACCCTCGTGTTGCGGATAAACCCCCGGTTTTAGAAATCTCCACAACAATCAAAAGATGAGTACCTTGTACTTTAGATTGGATTGACACCAAGAAATAATTGTGTGAATATTCGTATAAATCAGAAAAAGAAAGAGCAACAAAATTTATTTGTTTTTAATGAGTTAAGGTCAAGACATCTGCTGTATAAATGTTTTGGTTATCTAAGGACTCACCTAACTCAAATGCATGAAGAAAAAAATACCATACCTGAAAAAGATATTTCAATGTCTAGTTAAAGCTCTGAAAGCAATTATTTTGTCCTATACTGTATGCATGAGACCCAGAATGGGAATCCACAGACTTAAAACATCTCTAAATAACTAGTGCCTACTGGGGCAGATCGCTTCTGCGACTTCAACTTCCAGTTCCACTGACTGGAGTACATTGTAATTGTAAATCATGCTGGTTGAATGCTCATCCCAGTATCTTTTACTAGGTATCTTTTACTACACATACCACTTTGAGATGTGTGCATTCTTCCCCTCTAATCTCATCCAAATATATTTCCAGAAGTGAAACTGCAGAGCATGAAAACTAAAATGGCACCGCACTAGGAAAAGTCTTTTTATCCTTCAGCCATCTGTTATCAGAAGTATAAAAGATGCAGACTTGGACATTCAGCTATTCTCAATGTTCTGCCTTTACACAACACAGTCACTTTATGAAACATTTAACCTTCATGACTAATCAGTATTTTTTAAGTGCTATATTCATGACTCTAGAAACATATTCTTTTCCTTTGGTTCTAGCCAGTTGGGACTGCCCCAAAATAAAACTTGATTTTAAGAAATAAGGCATCCTCTAAATTAAAAATGGAATTAAACTGGTTTTGGAATAGACAAAGGGAGTCCAATACTTCTTAATTGCAATTCACATATGTACGCATCTAAATAACTTTTGGAAGGGAGGAGAAAAACAGAGGCTTAAGTAATATTACGTGGAAAAAGATCCATAAATAGAATTGGAAAAGGATTTGATTAGCAAAGGTAAAGTATTTTTCTGTCATTGCTTAAAGCTCCTCGACCCAAACAAAATGCAAAGTCCTTAGGCAAATCTGACTGCACATAATCTAGACATTTCATGCATTTCACATCGAACAACGTGACACAGTGAAATCATTGTTAGAGGATGAAGAGCTGTGCAGGCAATAACCAACCACAGAAACAAACAACTGGTCATCTGATAAGAAGACACAGCGCTTCTAACAAGAAAACGTTAGCATTCCTGAGGACTATACCAGCATATGTATTCAGGAACTTCAGAGACAAACAAATGTTATTTTGTATACTGCAATACCCACTGGAAATAATTTAGATTCTCAAATGAAAATTTTCATTTTTTTTTTTTCCCCCCAAAAGCACAGGTGTTTAATGGGCTACCACCTCACAAGAGAATGCTCAGGAGTTACAGCAAAAGCCACAGTGACACAACCCTGCATTTCCACACCTGTCTTGGTCCCAAACGTTCAGTATAGCTTTGAGCAAGCAAATAAGACCATTGCCTTTTGGAACAAGTAGCACTTTTAAGTGCCTTGAGTATTTATTTTGAGATACTTTTGTCTCCTGCTATTCCACAATAACTGAAAAAACTAGTTATTTACAGTCACTATCAAAAGGCTGCCTCCTAAGGTTTTTTTTTTTAAAAAAAGCTACCTTATACTTTTTTCCATCTAAAGTACAGAAAGAGAAATATTTCTTACACTTTCTTTCTTAGTTTTACTTATAGAAGTTGAATTAATCAATATTTTTGAAGCACTTAAAGACATCTGATAGAAGAGATGATAACTATTTCAAAGGCACTACACAGTGTCAAAATCACTTATTTAAAATAAGTATGCCACTAAAACAGAAAATCTGTAGAAGTCCTCATAACTCACATTTAGATTCACACTGAACTGTAATTTAAATTCACACTTACATTCTGACTGTACTGCAGGTCATGGCTAACTACGCTACATACACGTAAACAGTTTTAGAAACATGTAATTGTACACATATATATGGTAATAACTAATCATTTGAGGACTACAAGCAATTAATTCTGAAGTGACTGATTACAAGCTCAGGCTGCAATGCAACACCTGTGCCCATGGTATTCTGTTGTATCCCGTGGGAACTACATCTACCATTCTCTGATCTACCTACTATAATCTATACTAATAGTTGCATTTCACTAAGAGGCACTACCTAAACTTTCTGACCTAACCAGTTCCTTAATCCCAGATATCCTATACGGCAAACAGACATTTGCTAAGCAACAAGTTTTCTGTAATTGTAGCAGTTTATAGGCAGTTAGACACGGTAAGTACTGGAAGCAGAAAAATGATTTTGAGACATCATCTTCGTTCTGTCGGTGGCCACATACACAATGCTCTGCACATCACTGAAAGTCTACAATCAACAATTCATTCCCACAACAGTGCTACCGTAGGCTATGACGAATTCAGAGAAAACACTTCTATGTAACACTTCTATAAGGTAAGTAGTAATATTATTCCCATCTTACACGTGGAATTAAGGTATAGGTATTAAATACCAAAAAAAAAAGGCACACTCATCTAATTACTATTCTAAAATACTTACTGCCTGATCCCCAGGGTACTGTTGAGTTTCCTAATCCTACATTTTGTATGAAATCAAAGCAAACACAACTAGTGATCCCATTACAGAGTCTGATACGGATCCTCCTGCTGCATGTGGGAGCTATGTGATAGAGCCACAGACAATTCTTCCGACGCCATTCAGTAGCAACATCAAAATACTATCCTTCAGCATCTTGCATCATTCTCCAAACATCTTCAGATATTTGCAACAAATGAGGCATGTGAGGAGAAAATAACATAGCTGTAAGAGTTTCTTTCACTTCAGGAACCATACTGTACCAACATATTGGCAGAGCAAGGTCCATCCTAAAGAGACCACAGCTCTTTTAGGGGAAAGAATAGCCCATGAGCACGTGAAAAGTTCATACGTGTATCATAGCAGTTAAACAGTTTAACTAATGTACCACAGTCAGCCTTAATTATAGCCCAAGTACTTCACTTTGCAGCATTAGTACATTTTTTGTATGCAATTTCCTGTAATTTTTCAGGCTTTCATATATAGAAGAAAACAATATTCCTGGAGAATCATTGGCTGGTCCTCCCCTGTCAAACATCAGCAAGGCAAATTGTCCGAGTAGGTGACTACAAGCAAGCAGCAATTTCTAAATGCAGAAGACACGTAAGCTGCGCAGATCTACTGTGAAAGGTGAATGGCAATATCTACCTTGCCAGAGAATCTCACTGATGATATTTGCTTGAGGAGACAGCAATGTGAAGATTTAGGAAAAATGTGTACAAGTCCAGTTTATTTTAGGTGTCCTGACAGTTACCGACCCTTCTGCTTTCAAACTCATTCATTTCAAATCTTTCTTATCTGCTGTCCTTATAGCCACCATCTTTTCAAGCTACTTCCAGCCATTCTTTTTTAACAATACTTCATTTTCAACTCCTAGTGAGCTTTTACCCCTGCTCCTCATTGGCTAAAACTTCTTTCTCACATTGCTTCTGTCTTGTTGCTGCCCCTTTCTCCTTCCACATACAGGTCCTCCTCTCCTGATCACTCACCCCTTGTTCTACTTGTACTTCATTTCTTTCCTACCTACTGTTCATCACATTTCTTCATCCTTCACCGCCCCCTTCCCAGGTGCCTGGATGGTACCAGGAGAAGCAGAGAGAGCAGAGGAGGAACAGCCTCTGCTTTCAGTGCTGATGAGCCCCCGGGGCTGTGAGAAGACAGAAGGCACTCTGCGCATGGAGAGCATGTGTCTGCGGAGCACACTTAAACTGAGAGAGTCACAATAAGAAATGCGAGGGCGGCGTTTGTTTTGTTTGGGTTTTGTTCTTTAAATTAGCAGTACGC